GTGCATTCTGGAAAGAGGGGCGTCAGGGTGCAGAAAGAAGAAGAGTTGTAATTGCTGAATGACCGGGCACTGCTTCGTGTGTCGGGGGGCGCTCTCCACTTTCACGCCACAGGCAGGACAGGGTGACAGGCGGGTCAGCACATACATCTTAGAGGTGTTATTCCCCGCCGAGGCTTTATAAGAGTCCCATTCTGCCCCGTGTTTCTTTGTGAGGTGGAAGGCTATTTTTGTCGTGGAGGCTATCCACGAGTCGCAGAGCAGACAGGTCCTGGTGAGTTGCTGGCCAAGGTGGCCGGTGAGGAGCTCGAGGAAGGTCTGGGTTCCGGCCTGTTGCAGCAGTTCGGTGCGCATGCGCGAAATGAGAGGCACTGTGTCCATCTGCAAGGTAAGCTGGACCGAGGGTGCGGCAGTAGCACGGCAGTCTGACGAGGGCACGAGCTCCTGGCTGGAGGAGACCTCACTCGCCTTGGAAGGAGCTTCGTCAGCCTGAGTGGCCGCCTCAGGTCTAGAAAGCTTGAAACCAGCCTGTCGGCAGACTCTGCGCTCAACGTGCTGTTGTAGATTATGCCAGTTTTTAAATTTCGCCTGGCAGTGCGAGCATTGAGGTAGGCCTCCCACGGAGTGCTTTAGGCGTGAGAATTCAAGGGGTGGCGGAACAGGAGCCGGATGCTTGACTGTCCGGTGTGTTCTCAGGCCCGCCGCAGTACGAAATACCTTTCCACAGCATGTGTGCATGGGCACGTCCGGAGAAGGGTCAATGTCGGCCTCCCTGAGCAGCTTGCTGTAAGAGGCTACAATTTCCTCCGCCGTTTGCAGGGTGGAGGGAATAGTTAAGATATCTTCACGTGGCCAGGCGCCGGACTGAGTGAGGAGCGAAGAGCTCGCGTTGGCCGGCGTGGATGTTGAGCAGGAGGTGACCTCACTCGCTGGGGCTGCATTCCGGCGCTTGCGGAGAGAGTCTAGGCGCTGGGCGGAGCGATCATGAAGCTGCTGAATGGGAGAGACAAGTTTCAGACGTGCAAAAAGCGCTGCTGTAGTTTCACGAGTCTTATGCACAGGGTTGTGCGTTACCGCTCGCACCTGTCTGGCATGCCATGAGCGGAGAGCCCTTGCCCGCCTACCTGAGAGACCAACGGATTCCAGGCCAAAAGTGGCCGTGGACCAGACGGTGGCTCTCCAGACAAGCAGCCTAGATGCGGTTTTTGTCCTGCGCTTATTGTGAATGAATTTGCGCACTGTCTGCTTTTTCTTCGCCGCTCTCTCTTGTCTTAAAGAATAGGTAAGATCTTCCGGGTTTGAGTAGCTGATCATGACTCCTAGATACTTGAAGGAGTCTACCAGCTCGAAGGAAGGAAGAGAGGGGAGAGGGGGAAGAACTGAGGAATGCGAAAGCAGAATTGGCCGTCTTGGCTGCTCTGGTGCGTCTATATTCCAGACCGTGACCTTCCGGCCTGAGCGAAGCTCCTGTGACTTGAAGAGCTTCTTGGCCTGCTGTGCGTGGCGACCTGCCAGTTTAACCATGATGTTGCACTTGGCGTAATTCACTTCTAGTCCGGCTTCTTGCAGGTAGTACAGTAACAGTCTAACCATGTCATGAGCCGCATAGAGATCAGACCAGTTGTGGATGTCTCGGTGAATTACGAGGTCATCTGCGAAGCCTGTGAGGAACTGCTGTATGGGAGAGAACCCTATGTGGGTGGCCATAAGCCGGAACGCCTCCGTGATGACCAGGGAGAAGAGGGAGGGGGCCAGTTTGCATCCTTGCTTTATACCTCTTGTGGAGGTTACTGTTTCCTGGCTTCGTCCATAGCGCAGATTATACTGGGCCTCCCTATGGAGGGATGCAACCAGCTCGACGTCTTCGGGTGAGGCTCCATAAGTAATTAGTGAGCGCAAAAGAGCTTCTCTGCTTGTTTTGTCAAAAGCTTGAGAGAGATCTAGTGAGAAGGTGAAGCCTCCGATTAGGTCCGGCTTGCCCTTCGTGCGCTTGGGAGTGCAGAATCTGTCTGGTGCTCGGGATCGAAGCATGGCACGGACGCGCCTTGCGTGGCCAATTACCCGGAGTTGGGCATCGGCGATACCGCGTCCTGGAATGTAGGCAAATTGAGGGGAAGCAAAGTGGGCCTTCTTGAAGAGGGGGTCAAGTCTTCTCCTAGCCTCAGAGGCTATTCCTTTGCCATCTGGCCTAATGATGCCCAGCGGTCGCAAGTTCTCCGGCTTAGAGGCTGGTTTAGAGGGCTTGGGTATGAAGCTAAGGTCTGCTGACTTGGCTGTTATGGGCAGCGAGGGTGGCTCGGCTGGATTCATTGGTGCTGTGTTATGCTGAGGCTCGCGCTTCCCTTGGCAGGAGGTGACCTCGCACGCCTGATGGGTCGGAGCGGGAGGCGGAGGCACCGCTTCGAGATAGTCGCAGTAGTTATTGGCCACAGTGGAAGCACAAAGGCGGTACATGGATGCGGGGGCAGATCCTTGCGGTACTGCCTTTTCCGGCTTTATAGAGGCTATGCCTTTGGACAGACTACTTTTGTCCAGCTTGGGCAAGGCTTGGCCTACGCCACTAGCTAGGGGGGGATGCGAGGAGAAGATGGAAAGACTATGTCTCTTTAACTCTGCCAGTCCCTCAGGCTCAGTTAGGATGCGGCCGCATGGCGATCTGAGGCAGACTCTTGGTGCAGGAGACCAAGGAGCTACATGCTTTAAGGAGCGATATGCCGCATGTGGATCTCGTTTGACCTTCTCAGAAATCTCTTTCAAAGTTCGATGAGTTCTTTCTCGGGCCTGATTCTTTATCTGGATGGCATGTGCCTTGGCTGCCTCGTCCAGCGAGCGCTGAGCCTGTTTGAGGTGCTCGGTGCGAGCCATCTTATTTATGACGTCGTCCTCACGTTTTAGGTTTCGCAGTGCGGTCTGCCGATGGTTATGAAGCCGCCACAGAGGTTGTGCTGTCGGAGCTGCGTCCGAGCTGCCTGCTTCTGGGTCCCTCGGCTGGAAAGTCTTGGCATGTTCGAGAAGAAGCTCGTTGACCTCATCAGGGTGAAGAGGCTCGCCATTCTTCTGCGCTCGGAGTTTGTCGACATCCTTTGCTACTTGCTCCCGCAGGGTTTGGGCCAGAGGAGTGTTTTGTCTAACATGGTGAGCCAGTAGGGACTTTTGTTTGGAAGGGACTGCCGGTTGAGTTTTGGTCGAGAACGGGTGTCTCCAGACCTTCTTGAGGGGTACTGCCGTCCTGAGTGGCATGTGTTTGCCACCTTTACGCCATGCTCCCAGCTTGAAGTCTTTGAGGACACACACTTTGCGGGCCAGCTGAGCAGCGTAGAATTTGGAGGTCAAGATGAAATCTATCTGAGAGCTGCCCTGTGGCGAGATGAAAGTGTTTGCCTTGCGCCCCTGCCATGTGTTAAGCGCAACTAGGGAGTTTCGCTGAAGAAACTTCTGGAACTGCTTTTGAACCGGCTTGTGCTTAGAAGATCCTGCTGGCACCACTCCCCCTACAAAGGGGGGATTTGGTTTTAGGGAAGAGTTGAAGTCGCCCGCCAGTACCGGAACAGTGCGCTGTGACAAGTTGGTAAGGGACTTGCTTAGGGAGGAGAGAACTTTGCTTTGGGTGGCATAGTGGTCCTGCTCCGTCATGCCTCGTTGCTTGGTGTACTGGTAGCAGTTGAGCAGGAGCACTGGATGGCCTCGGATTTCGCAGTGAACCTCGTGAGCACGGCCTGGGTGTAGATCCTGCCAGCGTAGTGTTGCTGAGTCTATGCTAGGCGATAGTAGAGTGAGAACACCTGCAGAGCGCCTGTGCTTTGGCTGTTCGGGTAGCTGGGATGTTTGAGCGGGAGGAGACCTCACGAGCTCTTCATCCGGCAGCCCGCCTGAGACAGCTGTCCAGCCATGCACTTTAAACTGGGAGGATGTAGTCCAGTGGGTTTCCTGGATAAAGATAACATCGAGGTCCTGCTGATATTGCAGCCACTCCTTGAACTCTGCCCACAATTGCTGGCTTAATCCACCTGCATTCCACGAGAAAACCCGCAGTGGTTTGGCTTCGCGACCGCCTCTAGGGTGACGCCTACGCGGTTGCCTAAGAGGAAGCTGCGGTGCAAATTGAGCATGCATGTTTTCCTTAGTCTCTTGGCTTGCACTAGGTGCAGCCGTGCCTGCGCTTGCCTGTGCCTGGCTTAGAGGCAAATTTGTCCTTCGATATGGTACTGCGCAACCGTCCCTTAAGGCTCGGTGACAGGCCCGACGATAGGAGTGTTTCCGAATTAAACCCTCTGCCATCCGCTTGTTTCGACTGAAGTGCCGAAGCACGATCAGACTCCCCTCGTCCTGCGGAAAGACGAGAACCCTCACACTTAGGAGTGAAAGATGCAGTCTAAGACGATCTAAGTTCTCCCCCCGGAATTGGGACCGGGCCAGCTCGTGGATATGCTGTCTGCGGCAGAATCTCAGAATGCTTGAGGCTAAAGCCTCAAAGTGACCATCAGCTGGCAAGAGCTAGAAAGCCTTGAGATGTTAGAGGGCCCCGAAAACTGTTAAAGAGATGAAGTTCGGGGCCTTGGCCGGTTCGACAGCTACCATGCGCGGGCGGCTTGAGCTGGTAGTGCTTAGCAGCAGCAGCAGCAGCAGCAGCAGCAGCAGCAGCAGCAGCAGCAGCAGCAGCAGCAGCAGCAGCAATGCATCTCTGCTACCCTTCTAACCCGAACCGAACCAGGCAGCGGGCCGTCGTGGCCAGGGTTCCTCCATGGGGGGGGGGCCTCCTCGCTGAGCAGCAGAAGAATAAGAAGAAGAGAGCGCAACACGGCTCTGCTCAGCTCTGCACTTTTCCGAGAGGCCCTGACAAGGGGGCGGGCCGTAGGTCCGGGGGTTCGCCCCATGCCCCAAGAAAGAGCGCCCACAAGAGCGCCCGGTAGAAGAAGAAGCAGATAGAGTGAGAGAGAAGAGAAAGATTATAGTACCTGCTGCGGGTCGTGGTTTTCAGCTAGCTCCGACCGAGAAGCAGCCAGGTTCGTCAAAAATTCACCAAGCTGTTTCAGCAGTTCGATGAGCTCACAGATGAACCCGACGTTCTCAAACTCTTCGTCAGAGCCGTGGCGACCTCCAGCGAGCTTGGACGGGCTCGGGACTTGATGCAGGCTCCCGACATAGATTTTGAGGCTGTTAAGGAGAAAAGAGACATAAAAGTAAGCGGCCTCTGCTGCGCGTTGCCGTCCCGGAAAGGCGATAACGAAGAAGTTCGGCAAGCAAGCCGCGCTGTTGTGCCTCGGGTTTGATTAGCACAAGCAAAACCCAACATGGCTCGCCTCCTTAGCGAAGCTTCTGAGAATTCAGGCTGATCTGCGACTTCCAAAGTCAAGTCCGGGGCCCGCACATGGTGGATCCTTTCGAGGATCTCATGGTCTATTTCCTTGAGGTCCGCTGACAGCCATGAACATATGTTGTCGGTCCAGTGTAGCTTGATCTCTCGCACAAAAAGATGGGCAGTTCCCAAAATAGGGGTACCTCGAATCCCCAAAAGGTATTTGCGAGGAAACCCCCATATCAGGCCCGATCAGATGCCATGAGCAGCTGGCTATGAGCATTTTCTGCCAGGGAGATGCCCACAAGGAAGCGATCCCGTACAAGAAGCCGATCATTGCAGCTTTGGATTGGATTGCAGGTAGAGAGCTTCAGACTCTCGGATGCCTCGTTTTCTCCTGTGTCTTGCTTTGTTTTGTCACATCTTGGTTTGAGACTGTTCTTGGATTGGCGTTTACATCTTGCAAGGATAAGCGTTGCCCCCGACTTGAAGGTCACGCGAGTGATGTGGAAAGTCCTGCTGTCGGAGATGTGGAAACGTGTTAAACAAGCATCTTGGAAGGCGCTGGAAGCCTTGGCTCAGCCAACCTCCTGGGGACTGCGAGGCTTAGGCGAATGGTCAGAATGTTGTCAGCATTGTGGCAGTGGTTGTGACCTCTTCTCTGAAGCGCGCACACTCGCCAAGAATGCTCAAAACCCTGCACGGGCATGCCAGGCGGCTTCCATGCCTTCGAGATGTTGACAGCATCAGCAGATGAGTGGCTACCCGGGCCTGAAGAGCAGTGGTTGGTAGATGCTAAGTTCGAGGCGGACAAGGACACTCGCCTGACGATATTCCACGTGTCATCATGTTAATCATGCTTCTGTACCCTGTTCACATCAGGAGTCACTGGCTCTCGTGTCCCTCGGCTACCACGAGAAGCTTGGTCAGGCTAGATGCTTCGAAGACGTGCTTGGCATCATGGGAGCACCGGGAGTACCGGGAGCATCCGGGAGCACTAAGTGTGCACACATTCGACGGAGGCATTGCACGAGTTCAATGCCGAAGCTTCGCCATTCGATGGCTGCTTCGTTAGTGGTGAGGGCTTGTGCCTCAGCTTGCCTGCGGTCAGAGAGACTTGGCTTGGAAGTTCATCAACAGATGGGCTTGTACCACGTTGCACTACGTTGCACTCGCAAGGCGTTCTCCATTTTCTTCGTTCCGACTTCTGTGACTTCCTCGAGGTGCCCTTCTCGTAGGAGAAACGGAGCGGCCGGGATGCATTGCCCAAACAGATCTGTTCTCGAGGTGCCCAAGGCAGAGAAGGTCCCAGGCACGGATTTTTTCGTACGTCGCTCGTGCAACTTGGCATGAAAGCCGTTCCCTCTCTGAGCTGGGAAGATTGGGAGAAGTGGTCATCACGGCTCAACCTTTTCAAATGTCTGAGGCTACCACAGCTTTTGGGACCATGACGGCGAGTCGGCACTGAACTCTGCGAAAGAGGGTTTAAGGTGGGAACCCGAAAGAACGTTGTGTGAAGCTGCGGATTCCTGGCTTTCCTTCCTGGCTCACCTGGCCGTAGATCCTTCCGGGAGCTCCTGCAGACAACCCGAACCAAGCTCTTTGTTCGCGCGGCTGAACCTTTTTTGCAAGAAGTTGCAGCCCGTGGTCGCAGTTCCATCCACAAGTGCACAAGTACTACCGTGAGGCAAATGCTGACGAGCTGCTTTTGATTGGGGTCTCTCAGAATGCAGAACAGTTGCATAATGGCTGTCTGCTCTGCATGTGTGCGGAATATCACTATGTTATACAATTCACCTTGTAGTGTATAAGAAAAAACATGTATGTGTACAAATCCTGCATTATGTGTATCGCTTCCGCTGCTGTTCGGTTGTCTTGCACTCGTTCTTCTCGTGGTCTTGGGCTGAATCTTTCAACATGCCTATGTTGCTTGTGCTTGCTGGATGAAGCACGGACTCTTGTTGTTGGTGCAAAATGCTTTGTCGATACACACACGATTTCGGGCTCCTGGCACGAACCGAGCACATTATGGTGATTCTAGTGAGCGGTGAGAGCAGTCTTGACAGTGGATGTGTTACTGCAAGTACTTCTCTGGCGCAAGTCAGCGCGACATACATACTGATCTACTCCGGGTTCTGACATCAGCATGGATCGTAAGCGCAGAATGTGCTGGAGTGGTGCGTGTAGTGTGAGTAGTGCTGCTCATGATAGCGTCCCATTTCTGGCATCCTGCGTTCTATGGATAGGAATGTGCTTGAAGTGCTATCATGAGACAATCACGAGATCGCTTCGTCCATGGCCAGATGCACTTGCTGGAAGTGAAAATCAAGGCTCATGTCATGTATACGTAGGCGTTCCATCACACTAGTCTCATCCGGAGCTGCACCTTGCTTGCGTGCACTGTTGGTCAGGTCGTGTTAGGTACGGTCTACTTCCCATGTGTGCCACACAAGCTAAGCGACTTCACTTTGCTGAGGAACTGTACGGCGAGCTGACAAAACGCTTTGGTCGTGCACTGCTTCTTGTTCTCCTGAGTGGGCAGGCTGTCGCCGTGTCATGCTCGGGCAGCCAAATTCACTGACAAGCCTGACAAGTCTATAAGGCAGAGCCAATCCCCCACCACCCCCGCCGCATTCATGGAAGGCAACCCGGACAACCTTCACGCTGCAAGACAACTACAACATCCTTGTTCAGACCCTCGCCTCCTCTGCGCACACTAGCAATTTGTGCTAGCATGTAGAATTTGAACTTCTGAAAATCTCTGAGCCATCCTCATGAGCTAAAGGTTCTTTGAGGAGGAGGAGGATGCGCAGACTGGAAGCATGAGATGCAACTCGGACGATGAGGAAGTACAAGCAATCACCCTGCAATTCCCCAAAGAAGGTTGCAAGAATGAAAGGGAGTTGGGGGAGGGTCAGGGTAGCAGGCTGCATGAAATTCGCGCAAGATCTTCAGCTCTCTGACAGTGAAAGGGTCCCTCCTAACAGGTTACACGGAGAACGTGAAGAAGTGCTTGGACTGGGCAGTTGGCAAGCCGAGTAAGGCCTGGGATACTGGCTCCCGTACATGCCACTGGTTGTTGAGTTGTGCACTGACATTGTGCAATCCTTTGAAGCTTTCCGTGTGCTTTCGTTGTGAAGGTCGGAGTCGTCCCCGACCTGGCGGCGCTGAGAGGACTGGTGACTGCACCAAATCCGCCGATCTCCGGCCCGGGAGGCGCTCTCCCCGAAGTCTGCGCTCTCTTCAAAGAGGCAGGTTTGGGCTTAGCATGGCTTAGCAAAAGGTTTAGGGCTTCTCGAAATATGAGGGTTCTATAGAGGGATTCCCCACTGAGAGTCGGTAAGAACAAGAAAGCATCCATTTGGTGTGAGCTTCGATTCGTTTCTGTGCGCCCGGCTCGTTTCTCGTTCCGCCCTGGATCAGAGGACTTGCATCTGGCTTCGACAACAGATGAATCCCCGGAGAGCTCCATGTCAAATTCTTCTTCGCCAGCCAAAATAACAGCATCGGTGGACAATGGCCCAAGCTGCTAAGCTCGGGCTACACTTCCACGCGCTAATTAAACGTTTCACTGCTCCACATTCAGCTCGCCGCTGGTACCCTGCCGCGTGCTGCAAAAGATGGAAGATGATTTAAGCAACAAGGGGCTTTGCTCGTAGCTTGCTGATCAGCTCCTCTTTTGTTTCTGGCTGCAGCCCATGCACTCATTCGGATGATTTCCTCGCCGGCCGCTTCAGCAAACTTTGATGTTGCACTACATAGTATATCAAGAGACTAAGCTTCATTCTCGGCACAGCGGGCTGATTACACTTGCAAACCACAGCGCGACACTCATAAGAAAACCGATGGAGAATGTGAATCTAGGAATTCCAGGCTTCTGGAATCCGAAATGGGGCCGATCAAAGTCAGTTTCTGTTAGCCAGTAGTAAGACACGCGAATCGAGTCGTGGCCTATCTATCTCCATTTGATGGACCTGACGACGGTCCACGAAGGCTATCCGAAGGATTTAGGGATGAGATGTGCCTGGGGTATGTACACCAATCCACAACGGAATAACGGCCAGACGGCCAGCGCAAATTGTGCAGGTGGAGACGAGGATGAGAGCGATGACAAGGCCACAGTGAAGACCAGAGCCAAGGCCAAAGCCAAGGCCAAGACCAACGCTAGGGCCAAGGCCAAAGCCAAGGCACCACGAGGCCAGTCGGAGAAGTGTTTCAGCGGGCCTTAGTGTGTCGACCTAAAGACAGGGTTTGAAAATGAGGGGCGTAGAATTGTAAGCTTGTTAACCGGCAGCAGGTTGTGTAACAGCAGAGGTTGTGTTAATCTGGCCGCGATTTGTCTCGAAGCAACCAACCTGTACGGAAGCCAGCAGCACTTTTGGATTTTTGGCTGTTCGCTCGCTGTATGTCTTGGGAGCAGCCAGTCGCAGAAGGAGCAGGGCGGCCAAACCTGTGGAGCACGTCGCATGCATGCGGTCGCGACGGCCCCGTCACTTGTCTACGTCCGCGCCGACGCACTCTCCGGCAAGTTCGCAGTTGATGGTGTAGGAACCGTCGACGACGAGTTCGTAGACTGTGGTTGGTGCGGACCTGGTCGCGTATCACAGTGTCGCAAACGACGGGGAGGCCCTGGCCGCAGGTCTATGCTGAAACGGGGGTGCCGTTTGCCCCGGCACCGCCTGCGGTAGCCGGTCACTGTGGGCCATTTCACGTCCAGTCTGCACCCCAATGAGACTTGACAAACGGCGTGGTGTGCACTCGTGCAGTTCGCTCGGCGTCGCTCTCTGTTCAGTTCGCTGTGTTGGGCCCAAGCCTCCACGTCGCTCTGCCTGCCCGCCCGGGGCTTCCCTTTCGTGGTCGCGGGCACTCGTCGTTCGTGGCTGAGGTTGGGCCCAGGCTTGCCGAAAAACGGCCCGCCATGGCCCGCCCCTTATCGATAACCTGGCCGGGGCATGGCCCATGTGGCCGAATGGGGCTAAGCTGGTGTTCCACAGGCTTTGGAGCACCTTTGGGCTATCAATGCCAACCACTCCAACACCTATTTCAGTATCAATATCAATTGAGAAGAAGAACTTGGGAAAACGTAAGCGAACAAGGCAAGAGCTCCCAACACCTATTGACAATAAGCACCGTTGGAAGCTTGTCCTGCTGGCGAAAGGCCATTCGGCCGCCACAAGCACGGCGAGGTCTCGTCTGGCCGCTTGATTGTCCCTTGTCTTACCACCTCAGCCTGCCCACAACCCGGCAAGGAGGCCCGAGAGCCCGCGGCACCAGTCTATGGCACTGTTCCGGCCTGGCTAGCACATGGTCAGTCGCTGACGCACAAACGCGCGAGCAGTTGAGAATTGGCCCAGCAGTGCAAGCAGTTCGCAATTAGCAACGCGTGGCATGCGGAGGTGGCACTTTTTTGCACTTCGCAGTGCTGTTTCGGGCAGGCCAGGTTGAGGTTGATCAAGAGCACATCAATCGGTGCTGGACTTCTGAAAGAGATGGACATCCAGCCATCGACACTGACTCTATCCGTGGTTCGAGCCTGATTTGGTCTAACATCGGCCTGGTGGCAAATGTTTCTTTCGGCTCAACTTAGCTTGTTCGTCGGGTGAATATTTGAGCTCATGCAGCTCCTTCTAGTCTACCCACTGAACGCTAAAACCATGTTCGAGCGTTTCAAGAAAACTTGGAATTCCGGATATTGTTTCGACTTTGGGGCAGGTGCTCGAGCTCCTCGCAGTCCTGCGCCCTCAAAGCGACGTTCAAAGTTCACCTCGCAGGCCACAGCTCTTCAAGAGCATCCAAAGTGCACCCCAAATGAACCCAAGTTGCACCCAAATCTCGCAAGACAGGTGCTGAAGAGGCGTCACAGCCGAAAAGCCTCGGACCCGGCCTTCGACGATGCCAAGCCAGGACGGCGAAGGCGGGTTTCCAGCTGCCTCCATTTGCTTCCGTTTGCCTCCATGTCTCGAAGCGGGGCAGAGTTTCTCTGCAGAGCAGGGAGATGCAGGAAGCGAGGCCAAATTGAGGGCCACATTCCTTTGGCTGCCTTGATCTGCCTTGCTTGTCTGCTACTGCAAGCTCGGGGGAGCTCGGGGGGGGGGGGGGGGATGGCCCGGCATTTCTCCAGCTCTAACGGCTGGATGCCCGTGCGCAGGAACAAGCGAAGCAACGAGCAAGCAAGTTTGGACAGCTGCTTGGTTCTGCAAGATGATCACGAGTAACATGATCATGCATGGGCTACGTATTGGAGTACGCGCTCGAGGGCTCGAGCATGACAGCTGCATGCCAGAGTGTTAGACTCTGCCAGACCCTAGCACCTAAGAATCGTACTATCTGAAGCTGGCCGAGGTGCACAAGTCCCTAAGCGCAGGGGAAGGCTTGTTTTCAAACGCCATCTTGCAAGCTGAGTGTTGCAGCGAGTGCGGACATTTCTGCAAGTGATGAGGCCGCCGAAGGCCACAGCAACGGGCATCGCTGAGGAATCCAGGGCACCTGCCAAGATGCCCAGGAGGCAAGCAAAGCAAGCAACACAGAAAGCACCAGAAAGTGCCTCGGCATTGTGTTCAGGCATTGCTGTTACGCAGCAGCGCGTCCCATGTCATGTGCCTGTTGTGCGAATAGCTTAGATCTTCTCGCCGCAAATCCAGCAGAGCCCTGAGGCGAAAATGAGCCGGATCTGGATGACTCTGACTTGGATTCCTCAGAAGCTTGACAGATGCTGAACTCTGTGTCGTGCAGAGTCGGTCCCGGCCTGTTCGCATGGCCATGTCAGCTTTGACAACTTGAGCATTCTGCCCAAAGGATCTGGATGCTACTCTCATGGCAGTTGGAGGTCAAGATCTCGAAGAATCAGGCATCGGGCTAAGGAGGGACCATGGCACACAACTGAAGCAACACACTCGTTCCGTCCCATGGACCTGTGACAGCTTTGCGCATCCTTACCCAAAAGAGATAGACCAAAGCACCAAGCGCAATCAAGACAAGTAGGAGTTGCTCACTAGCTAGTCTCTGTCGCACACACGGAACCTGCAAACTGCAAAGTCAAGCAAGCAGGCTCATGTCGACGTTTGAGCCTGAGGTCTTCTGGCACAGAGGATCCACACTCGCCGACAGAACAGGAAGAAGAAGAAAAAGAAAAAGCAGAGGCCACTCGGTGCTCTCGCACGCGCCGATTTTTTACTGTCTAGAGTTCAACGTAGTTCGTTCGTGGTACTCTGTAGGAGCTGTGTGAGCGGAGGCAGCAGACAGCCGGCAAGGTTGTGCTGCAACGTGCGCGGGAGAATTGCCAGGTCCGCCGTAACCCAGTTTTGCTATGTAGATTCTGCCGGATGCGTGCTTTGGCTGAGATTTCGGCAGCAAGGCAACGCCAGAAGCCCGTGCGCTGCTATCACGTGGGCATCAGCAGTTCTATTGCGGAGAGTTTGCTGATGCGATCGAGACAATGCGGGCGGTCATCCGCTGCTTGGAAGCAATTGCACATTCGAAATTCGCTGATGCTGACACCATGCACAAATATGCGGACTTCGGAGGTGAGCAGCCTGGGCTGGCTGATCCCTACCACGTCTTGCACCAGGTGTACACAGAGCTTGGGGAGGAAAAAAAGGTCCAATGCCCTCCAAAGCCCTCCGATTTTACTATCCTGAAGCTCAGAGACAGGCGCTGCACCATCTCATCCTGTGCGCCTACTTCACGAAGCCGTCCTCTGATGCTGCTTGCCCAAAGAAGTTGCACCCGAAGGGTTTCTGAAAGGGGCCATAAATTCGGGGCTCATTGCAGCTAAACTCATCAAGGCTCGACCACTCTGGCAGAAGATCGGACATGCATCTGTGCGCCTGGCACTGATGGACCAGGCACGGTACAGAAAGCGCAGCTGCGCCTGTTGGGGCTTGGACTGTCACATCGCGCATCGTGCAGGCCTGCTATGCTTTCAGGAGAAGCATTTCGCCACGAGGCAGGACTGGCTGCCTTTGGCAAACCGTCTCGGCTGCCTTTTCTGGCGTGGAAAAGCAGCTTAGAGCTGCAGAGGCGCACGCACGGAGGACGACTGGAGGTCTCTGTGGGAGCTCTCCAAGTTGCTCTTCCAGAAGGAACGACGCTTTTCAACAACACCGTTCACTTCGCACGAAACACATAACATTGTACTGTTCATATCTGTTCATGTGATCACCGGCGGCTATCCAGGGCGGGGATGTCAGATGCAGAACAAGGGTGCTCTGACTGCAGGGCAACCACGACCAGGGCATTGAAGTCTTGTACGAGCTCTATGAGGAAAGACGGCGGCGTGCCACTTGTTAAAACAAAGTACATGCTCCCGATAGCTTGTGACTTTTCAGGAGACTGAGGAACCCCAGCTGGCAGTTGAGGTGGCGAAGAAGCTGGTCAGAAGGCACGAAGGAGAGCTGTTGAAAGCTAGTTTCTACATTTTCCTTATCATTTGACATCATTTGGAAAGTGCCCAGGCATCGCTGGCGAGAATGCCTCGCCTTACTGGAAAGCTGCGTACAGAAGGGCCGCGAGGCAGCGGGAGCAAGCCATTCGCGCAATGAAAGAGTTCAGATGCTAAGCCCGTGACAGTATTTCCACGTATTTCCCTTTAGCTGGCTCCAAGACTGACACGCCATGAGATACATTGAGACGACATGACGCAACATATCGCAACATCACATTGGCTTTTGTTTCGGAGAGGCGCGAGGCCGGTAGATGCCGCTAGGATCCGCCGGGCAGCTTAGGCAGCTTAGGGTCGAGATTTGCGACGCTTCCTCGACGGAAGAAGGTTTCGGTCTTCTGTCATCCGTGCCCATGGATGTACAGAACACCCGGATAGAGACCATCCTCCAGTGGCAGCCCATCCAGGGGTGCCGCAGCCTGCGCTTGGGAATTTCCCCTGCAAGTTCTCGAACTTCCATGATCATCTCGCTTCTGCCTTCCTACAAGAGCTCAGGATCTACTACCCGGGTTTCATCAAGGAATCCGCGATTCGAGGCTTGCAGCAGTGGCAAGGCAGAGAAGGACTGGCATGGGCCTGGATGGGTTTGGACTGGTTCTCTTGCACTTCGCTATATGAAGTTTTAACAGTACAGCAAGTTCATGGATATCATGTCCAGGCCCTGGTCTTGTCCCCGTTGAGATGGTGGTGTGTCTTTATGCCCTCATGATGTCCAAGCATTCAGGAGACGTTTTTCTGGTCTCCAACTTTCCAGTTCGAGGCGATGAAGATGTTCTTGCGACCATGCGTAATTTGCGCCAAATTGCACTCGCATCGCAAGTCCACTCAACACAGGTGGGATGTTGCACTGAGGCTTGCAGAGGGTCCTCACTTGTCTGGTGGAAGGCTCCCAGCTTAGTTGGGCCTGTGGCACGCATGCTTCATCACAGTTATCGAGACAACCACCCATGGCAAATGCGGTTTCCAGCCTCCGGTCAACGAGTTGACAAGTGTCTTCTCAGGTCGCGACAACCCGTGGGAAGGAGGATTGCTGGACAAGCCGTACTACTGCGAATCCGGGCTGATGGGAGCTGCACACGAGAATCACGAGAGCTTAGGCATGATCGCATGATCTTGGTGCAAGTTCGAATGATGAATCGCGGCCTCTCAGGAAGCCGCGGCCTCCAAACGCGGTGTGGAGGAGTACCTGGGTGAGGCGAATGACTGGAGCTTCCGGCGCTGCTTCAAGTCGCATGCCTTCCCGCACCTGTCACCCGCGAGCAATTTCATAATTTCTCACTGCACCTGTGCCTCTGTGTCGTGACCATGCGTGGCTGGCTGGTGTTTGTTGTTTGTTAGCATATCAGAAAATAAGGCTTTAAATGGCAATAGATGTGTTTGCTCAAAGCATCTCTGGACGCTTTTGTTGTGTTCCCTTGCCGAAGATAACTGCTGGTCTTCTTCTCCGAGTGAGCAGGATAGAAACGGCTGAAATAGAGCGGGTCAGTTCCAACATCTGCGAAGTTCTTCCAAGTCCGAGCTGCTCCATTGTTGCCCACGCAGGGTAGCTTCCCCCGGATGTCGTCGCCTGTCTGCATTCGAGAAATGTTACGATAGCAGAGCCAAGGTTTCCATGTCGCTATCCTTTCCCAGAACACTGTGGAGATGGATCCTCGCGTCAAGCTTAAGCATTCTCACCTTTTTCTTCCGCTGGTTTCCCTGGAGAGCATACGGCATTTAGCAGGCTATCAAAGAATGTGCCAAGGAATTCCTCCAAAAATCCTGGTGCTGGTCGCTGACCCTCGTCACGCCTTCGCCGTGTGGTGGCAGACCCTTGGCCAGCTGCTTGGTGCACATTGCACTAAGCTGCCTAAACGCACATATATCCCAAAGCCAAACATGCAGAATCATGAAGAGCATCTGAACATGTCGTCCTTCTGTGTAATAAGCTGTGAAGCTGAGGTTGGAACCTGACGTGTCCCTGGACTTGGACTTCGGCAACTTTCTAAAGCTTGTGGCGCAGCAGGCACAGACAGCTTGCTTCTCCGCCACGCAACTCGGTGTTTGCGGGATGGCATGCACCTGTTCCAAGTGGATTTGGGCTTCGTAGAGGTGTCCCTGAAGCTGGTGCGCAGGGTTGGTGCCTCTTTGGCAGCTATGTCGATCACACGACTGCTTGGGCCAGGGAGGCAGAACTGTATCCAGACAATGTATCTTGGCTGAATGTGTTATTCGAAGCTTGAGATTTCCGTCGCTTGTCCTAGGTCAATGTTTGTGATGTGTGATGAGTCTGATCTACAGACTATGACTTTGCATTGCCGTGCACATGCACCAGCAGATGCTATGACCCCAAATTTCCCCACATCAGACATCGCAAGACTCAAAAGGTGCGACTCTGCACGGCGGACCGTCTAGGCGGGCACGTAATCTCGGAAACTGCGACTTAGGCATAGCGAGCTTCAGAGTGAATGGTCAGCGCAGGTTCTTTAGACCCACAGGAAGTGCGATCAGAGATGTGGCCTGGCTGCGTGCTTTTCGTTGCTAGCCTCACGGGCAGCTGCGTCACGATCAGAGCGTAATTGGAGAAGCGCCACGCTGACCCTGTGAGTACCGACGTCATGTCCTACTTGTAGCTGATACATCGATGATCCCTGGATATCCCTGGAATTAAACACCCCCCCCCAGACGAGCCCTGGCAGTTCCCCCAGGTGCACAGCTTGTTTAAGAGACTGCATAGGTGCCGTTGCTCTGCATGAAGGCTCTGCACCCATGAAGAATGGATCTGTTAGCCAAGGTACAACATCGCAGATTTTCTCATGATCCCACGCGTGAGAGCAGACTCCAGCCATCAATCTGAAGCAGCTGGGTAGGGTAAGAAAAGCTCAAGGTGGCGTTCGAAGGCCGAGCTAGCTGCCATTACAATGAGCTCCGTATCGCTCGGCAGTATCTCCCAGGCAAGGTAGAATCCACGATGGGCATTGCTTGAAATGTAGCTCCTCTGGTTAAAGCTCCCGAAGGGCAATCCGAACATGAGGAAGGAACATGTGTGACAGACATGCCACAAGGATCGCATTGTGGATGCGATTTTCTGCAGACCGCCGGATGCATCCTCCACCTTGTCCAAAGAACCTGGCCTGAGTTTCGAAGTGCTTTCACGCAGCATCAGAGACGGCATGAAATGGTGTACTTGTGAAAGAAGTGTTTCTGGTTAAGTTGTTCGCACAAGCATGTCCCCGAAGGTGTTGCGAAAGAGCACATGTCAGAATTAATTAACTGAACATGTGGTTGCCTTGGGTTCTTGTGTATCTCCAAACTCCAGGCTACACGTTTGTGACATTTTGGGGGGGTGGGGGGGGGGTGTATGTGTGCAGAGGGGGCGGAGCGAGTAGGGCAGCTACGAATCTAGAGCGCATGCCTTGAGTATGCCAGCATTTCTCGTGAGAGTATGTTTTGCCAGTGTCATTCGGGCTGCGACATTGGCAGCAGCTGCTCAGCAGCTCAGGACAGATTGGTGGATCACGCCGTCATCCAAGGTGGTCACATTGTAGAAAACACGGGCAGGAACCTTTACCAGACTCTCGGCAGCAGCAGGTCTCGACTGTGCCACTTCCATTCAAACCAAAGTGTCAAATCCAATAGACACCACGCAAAGGTTTCAAGATGCCTATGAGACAGTGGATGGGCTGGTGCAGGAAATCTGGCGCCAGATGCATCGTGGTCTCCATTTTGGTAAGACATGACAAGAGTACAGCCTGGCGTTTGGACAAAGCATTCAGAACTAGCAAGTGAACTAGGATGGAAAAATTCCCCGCTCAAAGTGTCCTCCAAGACTTGCGAAGGTTCCTGACGCTATGCCGCACAGGGAGCTCAAGCCTGGTTGAGCTGGCTCAAAAGGCTCCACGGTCCTCAGACCGTTCTCATTTGCGTCTCAGCTGGGCTTTCGTTGCTGCTCACAGGCTCTGCAGGGTGCAGCCTCGCTCCCGCCCATTGTACGCGGCTTAATTCGCTTGAATGAGCTTAGAAATGCTTGCAATTAGTTGACCAGTGTGACCTCTTTTTTGTCTGCAAGAACCGCGAGGGGCTTTGCAACTTGAGATTTTGGCTGTTCGCGCCTGTCCACAGACTCGCGTTGATTGACAGGCTGTGGGAGAAACCAAGCAACCAGAACTCGTACCGGCACCGTGTGAGGTCAAGACCGGCGCGTTTCGTGGCGAAGACGCCCACAATGCTGGTACCTGTCGCCCGTGCGTATTCAATCTTCGTACCTGGCATGCACTTAGCACATTGCGTCTTACGATGTCTTGGGGTGATGTGCATGAATGTGAGGCAGCATTCTTGGACAAGGTATGCTAAGTTGTGCATTGCTGCCCGGCTGATGCACAGGTGGCATATGTCGAGACTCTGCAGAAACCTGCTTCTACTGCCACATGGATGGGCACGAAAGGACGCAGAGCCGTGAGAAGCCCGAGAGCACACATGCAATCTTCAGTCCAGGCCTCTGCATCTAAAGTCCCGATCCTACTCACGAAACACGATGACTTCCGCTCAACGTGATCCTTCAGGTTGTCATCCCTGTCTTCACTCGACTAACCTGTTTAGATCCGGGTTTGAGGCCTATGTGCATTGGCAAATTGTTCTGGCGGTGCTCATGTACAAAACAATCGGAGTACTTGCAAGGACCAAACGTGCTAGCCATCGGGTGAGGAAGCAGCGACAGCTGCAGCGACGACCCTCGTCATGCAATAGTTGGCATGGCATGGCACCACGGATTAGCTTCATTCAACTAAGAACTTCGCGCCCCGTCGCCAGATCCTTTTGACTGACTTGTGACTTGTGATGTGGACGGGCATTGGCAAACGTTTCTTTACAAGCCATCAGCCTGGACCAGACTGGCAGCAGCTATGCCGGGCCACCGTAAAGGTCATTCTTGGATGACTCTGGCCAGATGGCGATCTGCCACGCTAATGAAAATAGATTGTACATAGCCTTCAAGCAGAAACTGCTGAAGTGAGTAGTTGACGAGCTCAGTGACTCTAGCGTCATCAACGGGCAAGAAGTAATGAGTGTTGACGTGGGCGGATCTTCCGTGTTCAAAGGACGTCGGAGGGAAGCACCATGCAGATGTTGACAAGTTATCTGCGTGCTTTGGAACTCTTGGGCAGCCAATACCCCATGTCAGCCATTCTGCGCCAGCATGCAGTGGCATTGCATGGCAATTGTACAGGGCGAATGCGGGTGGCAGTTAGCTCGGAGAGCTTCAGAGCGCTTGACGGCTTTGATCTGCTGCAAAGCAGCAGTGTCTGAAGCGGCTTTATGGACTTGTCCGTTGCAAGCAGGGGGAAAGGTTGCGCCACAGCTGAGAGGAAGTATGTGGACATGCTCCGGTGGCTCCGCATTCCATCCCACAACAGAAAATGTACAACAACTTGTTCGGTGCTGAGTCTTTGGTGAACCGGTTAGCCTCAACAATCTCAGCAAGGTTCCCCAAAATCCTGTGGAGCAAGCAACGTCAGCCGACAATGGAGGGGTAATTCCTATTTCTTTGGGGTAGAATCGCACTTTCTGGTAACATGAAACCGTAAGATGTGGTAGAAGGAATCCGTTTATGAGAGTAGAATAATGCATCCGTGGGATTTGGCTGAATGATTCCGCGTGTTCTGCTAGCATGAGTCTGCTGTTGCGGTAGAATGGATCCCCGTTTGTTGGTAGAATCCGCGTTGCGAGTGGAATGAATCAGCGTTTTCGGTAGAATGAATCCGTCGGCTTGGTAGAATGAGCCCACGCGCTACCTGAATCTGTAGGCTGTCCAGCAATGGTAGGACCAGGTTGTTGGGACGTGAGGCAGTGCAAACAAGTCCTTTGGCCAGGCAACTCCGCCAAGAGTTGACCTGAACGTCTTGAACATCCTTGCCGAGGCCGCATGCATTGGAGCCATCATTTGCCATCGGCCCCCCTGCAGACACGATTTCTCTCCCTATGCGAGTATCTGCACATCCTTGGCGACCTTCGGGACCAAGCATGCCGCGCGCACTCAGGTCCTGATAGAGATGCGGGAGTTCGAGAAGCCGCAGGGTTGCAATAGCGCACGTCGATAAGAGACCGGTTTCACGAGAAGGGTTCTTGCTAAGAATATGATGAATATGCTCTGAAAATGTTCGCCTCGAGCATGCGTCTGGGTGCACACCCTCTGCTGGAGGTGCGCCAGGCTCTTGCAGGAGCTGCTGCATCTGGTGCCGGCACAATCTGTACAGTCTTCAGGCAGGGGGCTAATCGAGGAGCAGCTCTTAGCCGCCATCCTGAGACGACTTCGCTGCATTTGCCAGAGTAGTGAGTAGTGGCTCCTTGGCAGGCGCCAGCAGCTCCACTGACGTGGTCCTGCATTCTCTGGACTCCCAGGCCTGACGCATCCACAACTTATCATTCCCTTCAGGCGGCATCCCGATCGGTTCGTAACGATTTGAAATTCCATCACTTTGGTAAACCCCCTGTCTCAGAACCACTGGTAGGTTTGCTCAACTTGCTTCGGAGGTGCTGCTGAAGAAACTGCACAACTGTCCGGTGGACATTGTTGCGATGCTGGCTGTGGCCATGTGTCAGTTGCCGCGCATGACTCAGCCATCACTTGACAGATAAGTGACCCTGCTATTTGCGAATGAGAAGGCAACATGGTCGCAACTGCAGTTTCACACGGCGTTAACTGCAAGGAATGAGAACATTGGCGAGGATCCGGTGTACAACTCCGCATTGGAGGTGACTCACGGGGCAGAAAACAACGCATCTGCACAGCTCAGATTCCGAAGCAAAAAAGCCGGACCTTGGCATCACACTTCAACTACAGGTGGTTCTGTCGCACCCTCCGGAGTCACATTCCGACCTTCACCTGTTGCTGGTGGATGTGTCAAGGATGCATACAGACAGTCTACACTGCGTCTACACGAGTCACTTGCGCCACCACTGCCAATGCAAATTCACGGCATGTTCAGAAGATGAGGCCATGCTGGCAGACGAGGGCACCACAGCTGACACAGTCAGCCGGCGGTGGCTTCGAAGGGCAAATGCTCATGTCTTAGTATAGTAAAGCGAAATGCTATGGTGCGTTGGCTTGTGCAATCGACAGTGTGAGCAGATCTGTTGTTCTAGACCTTCAAGCAAGCTTTCCACAAAATTGCAGGTTCGGCGCTGGTCTGCTGAGCAAGCACACCGAATCCTAAGCATGCAGTGCGCCCAGATTGCTGTGCGTGCCTGACACGAGACCATTCGACCAAGATTGTGATGTGGTTTCTTTCTTGTTGCATGATGTGGCAAGCTATGAAGAAGGCAGATGATACCAAGGCAACAGCATGTCGCTCTTGTTCGTTTGGTGCAGGTTGGATCAGTTTGGCTGTACCTGCGTATTATTTTACGTAGACATCGTGCAACTATCCTGCTGTCAGCAGCACCATATGACCTAAGAAAGCCAAGCGTGCACAGGTTATGGCGTATGTCAGCTTTTGTATGCTTGTATCGTGTATGTAGTACATATACATATATATATATACAGGTATACACTTGAATATGAGTCCACATCAGCTTCGAAGTTTCATTCTGGTGCAAATCCCATTCCGACAGTGTAAGCAATTGTCCCAGGCTTGGCCCTCGGTGGTGTAAGAATGATCAAGACTGCATCTGGAAAATCATATACACATGATGTGTGCGTGCATCTGCGTATGCACAGATCGAACAGAGACTGCGTTAAAAAAGAGTTTATTTCATGTTGGATGAACGCTTAGTCGCTCAACATGCTTCAATCTTCAGAAGAGCCTGAGCCTGGGCTCTGAGACTTGCCGAGGCTCGAAGATTGCACCACCTTGGAGGTCGACCTGCGCGAGCGACAAGCCATGTGCCGATGGCGACTTGGACAGGTGGCGACCTCAACCAGCCAGATACCGCAGCTTCCCATCTCACGTCTCGCATTCGCACATCTAAGTTAAGCCCCTAGCATTTTCTGCAGAGAAATTTAGGCACAACGAGTTTTTGAGCACGGGCTGATTCCTATTTGAGCCGTGCCGGCAGCACATACAGTCTAGGCGGGCTAAACGCCAGGTGGAAGAAGCTGCACTTCAACTAGAAGCTTTGCTGGAGGACTCGATACAGATAGCAGCTGAGTATGTCTAGAGCTCGAAGGCGCCTCTGGAGAGATTAGAGGACCCTGGAGAAAGAACGGATGCGGAGCTTCGCAACATGAGGCACGCTCTGGATTCTGGGTTGCATGAGGCTTCCACTGATTTCCACTGCATGCAAACCGAAGCTTCGGGAGACTTCGCACTTCGTTCTGTGCAGGGTTCGAGCAGCAGAGGCATGGATCGAGCCTCGGCTAATCTGAGGATCAGATTCCTACAGAAACGACCCCGGCATTCTGCTGGTTCTGAGTTTCTGTCTCCCCCAGCTGCACAGCTGCACCGCCAGGAGATTGGCAATCCCAGCCGCGCAGATCAAGTACTGAGTTGCTTGAGCTACGAGGCTTGGAGTCATTTCAGGTTTGTGTGCGGATCGCTCCTGAAATTGTTGCACCAGGATTTGCAGCGCAGCAATGCCCTTCCACCTCCGCTGAGCGCTGCCGAGCGCAAGTCCTTGTACAAGGCGGGCATCACATGGCACCTGGGTGAACCCAACAGCTGCACCATGCGTGCGGCACCGGCCCGGAACTGCTTTAACAAGTTGTTCGTCCGCACAGCATGTTTGCAAGGAGCTTTCTGAGATCATCGATCGGACATTGAGTGCTGCTGCGGATGCCAAGGATGTGGCCCGAAGCTCAGATCTCTAAAGTCGAGGTCTCGTGCCCAAACCCCTACAAACCCAGACCTTGAGGCAGCTCCTTGCTGAAACGGTTGCAGCCCTGCCTGCGCTGCTGAGTATCGTGGCAGGAACATGCTCATAAATATGTCGGCAGCAAAGAGGCAGGCCCGGCCCAGCTTGTGAGTCTCATTCATTGGGATTTGCAGGCGCTTTTGTGATCATGTATTGGGGAGATTGAGATTAATTTAGAAGCCCAGCGTCTCCAAAGTCCCTAAGGCCCTAAGAGTGTGTGTGTGTGTGTGTGTGTGTCTCTCTCTCTCTCTCTCTCTCTGTCTGTCTGTGGGGAGCGGGCGGCAACCCACCAACTGCAGGACCAATCGGGATTCGTTCTGGCGCTGTACCCTGTTTCTCCCCAGTGGTAGGGAGCACAAACTTAGGAGCCACCACGCCTTGTCAAAAAACAGCCTTCAAGACGGAGTCCGTTTTCGGGCTTCGGGAGGAAAAACCCGAGGGGCCTTGTGAAGGTGCGAACAGGCTGCCATAGCTGGCTAGTATAGAGAAACTCCTGGGAGCAAGTAGGCAGAGACAGGGAGGAGACCTCGTGATGCAGCTATGGCACCGGGAAGAGATCCTCATTTTGGAAAGGTGCATTTAGTGGGGGCGCGTACTGGGGTGACATTCCGAACACTGTCCACGCATCTCACAGTCTGTTTCACACCAAGAGACGCGGTGCAGCACGTATCCGGGGCGGCCCGCCTCTGGAAGGCTGAGTGCTCAGGAAGAGACCGAAACGTGTCATTTACGTATGTGTATTGTCTCGTATTGTGTTTGTATGATCCCGGCTCATGGCTCTCCGTGGAAGACCCTGCACTCTAAGCCCGGATCCTCAAGCTTAAGCCTGTCAAGCCGAATATTAAGCCGTGAGCCTAAGCCCTAAAACGCGAGCCCCACACAACAGGGCCGTGACGGGGGGAGGCGTGCCCTCTTCTTACATATATATTTTCTTATATCTATGTACTTGAAACTCTATCTGTACGTATGTGTGCATGGCATGCTTGAAGCCTAAAGCACTGATGATACCAGCTTCTAGCAGCAACGATGAGGAGCTGCTGCAGTTCTTCGCGAAGTTCCGGCATCTTGTGCTCGCCGCTGAGATTTGTGGTTGTGCTTAAAGAACCTTTGGTTAGACAAGGCTTGGCGCCTTTTCGCAGGCTCCGTGTTGGTTTTTCGTGTTGGTATCTCTGTAAGGTACGACTGCGAGCTTGACTTCAAGCGACTCAATGTACGCAGTACGAGTGCAAGGATGGAAGGCTCCCGAGAGAGCTCTGCTCCTGCAGCCCTAGAGGAGAGGCTTTGGTTCAGACTTTGCCTCCAGCTCTGGACTTGCCATGACAAATGTGGCACCCGTTTATAGGACAAAGCCAACTCACGTCCAAACGCTGCGGAGGAGGCCCCGGCTGTGACACCTAAGGACCTAAGGAGCTCCCCAAGCATTCCTGTCACCCGGTCACCCTCCAGGATGCCATCGCAGATGCACGGTCTGCACTGCCAGCTCCCGAGCCAGGCCATTCACTCCAGGGCGTATCAGGGCATCGAACAGTACTTAGCAGTACTTGAAAATGATTCTTCTTCGCCCGGTGCCATGTGATGAAGTTCTGTGATCCAGCATGCTAAGCTGCAGGCAATAGTCAAGACAGCCTGCTGCTTCCAGTACACGCTCCGAAGGCTGCAGATCACCTTTAACACTGCTCTGCAAGTCAGCGCATGTCCCTTGGCTCGTTATCCCGTTGTGAGCACAGCGCCGGCTTGCAGGTGCCGGACTCGAAAGCTACGGCTCGAAGCTTTGTGAGCGGACGAACATGGATGTCCCGTAGCAATCATGCGTGCTCGTACCTGCAAAATGGAAGCTGTCTCACAAAGCGGGGGCTCTTTGGACATCGTGCCCAGGCAGACGAGGTGTTGCAGGCCTGATGTGTCAGCACAGGGTGTCGAGCTTGCCGTACAGAACACTGCAACCTCCCTTGCAGTGATGAGGGGGCCACGATCCACAAGTTCAAGAGACGACATCTGGGGATCCAGACCATTGAGGACATGCCACCTGCTTAGATCCCACAAATGGTTTGCATCGATCCACAATCAGATCTACAACTGGCTGGCAGGTTTGGCTTTGAGGCGTACCTAACCTTGGTCAAACACGGGGTGGTGATCATTCGTTCGGGGCTTGGCTGGGGCTAAGCTGATTTGAAACATCTTCTGCGGGACGAGACGACATCAGACGACCTGAGATGTGAGACTTTGTCAGACTTACTTGAGGGTCTGCTGAGGCGCCTTTGCAAGATGCAGGAAGGAGTCGAAATCTCGCGAGGGAACTGTCCAAGCTGCGCAGGCAACCTTCGTTGTTGATATCCCCGCAGTTACATAGCCGCTACTTGTAGCAAAAAGCGACGAATACTGACAGGACAAGACAGCCGCCGCACTGCATTGCACTGCTACAGATGTCAGCTTGGCCTGGCTTTGTGAGGCGGTGGAGGTTTGCGAAATGATCCTCTCAAATCGCAAACTCGTGGCTCAGAGGAACCCGGCCCTCCCCCCAGCTTTCAGTTGACCCCTGCACGCGGAGACGCAGGGCTGCTGGGCTGTCGTCCAGTGGCTGAGGTAAAGCGGCGCATGATGAGGGACCTGGCGATGCTGTCTCTTTCGCTAGGCGAGTGCGTGCTTCGCACAAAGACTTGTAGCGCAACGACTGCAGTTGAAATGATCCCATGGCATAAACTTAAAGCCTGAAGACCGGTCAGGCTTCGAAGCGCGCTTGTGGAAGGTGCCTTTCGAACTGCTTTCGGGGGCATGGTCCCTGTACAAAGCAGTGCTGTACTACTGCAGGTCGTGTTCAAGCATCTTCGCAACATCTGTGATCGCAGTGGGAGCGATCATGTGGTGGCTCTGTGCTCCAGATTGCTGCCTGCAACCCAGAAGACCGTTCAAAGCAAGATGGATCGGGTTTGTGAACTTTTCAAAGGTTCACGCACGCAGATGTAGATGGCATGGGACCAAGCCATAGCAGAGTATGGGCCTCAGAAAGGCAGGCACAGCTAAAGTGTCCAAGAAGATGTGCGAGTGTTTGTATTGTAGTTGTCCCACCTCCCAAAATCCAAAGGATCGCGAGGATGCAGCTCCATGGAAGTACGAGAAAGCACACAATGCAAGCTGGGGACACCGTCACGCCGGCTTGCTTATGCTTCATAACTTCATGAAATTTCATGCCAAGAGCCTTGGGGGTGACAGTGTTGCTTCCACCTGCTAACATCCACATGCAGGCAATACCTATGCCGCAGCGTTCACAGATGTGCGGGGTTGGGCATTGCGAAAGCTGCTGAGAAGGCAGCGCATCGGAATGGGATGTGTTTGAGCTCCACAGACCCTTAGATGTCCCCACTCATGATGGACGCAGGCCTCGTGCATTCGGGCTCACGCTCCTATGCGCACACTTCTGCATCATCGCGTCTCAGCCCCGACCCTGGCCTAGGGGGCAGTTTGAGGGCAATTTAGGGCTTGGCTTGTGAGAGCCCATGTGGGACTGGAGCATGTGACCTATCTGAGTATCCTTTGTCGCACAAGCACCTGCGGGCTAGAACAAGCATCGTCTAGTCGTAAGCAGATGCCTGACACTTGCTGGGAAGAGATGCCTGACACTTGCTGGGAAGATCTGGGAAGATCTGGGAAGTTCTGAGGGGCTTTTGAGTCAACTTTGGAGGCGGCTGGGCATCCCGCAGCCCACAAAATGCTTTAACGGACATGTTCTAGCAGCAGATGAGCTTGAAGTTCTGCGGTGAAGGCAAAGCCATTGAGCTAGTTACTTGCATCTCTACTCTAACATCTACCAAACGCAGATTGCTCTTTGGGCTAAGAATATGCAGATTTGTTGACATGCCGCTGGGAGGTATCCGTTCGCGGTGGCCGAATACTCCCGAGCACACCGTTTGGCACCGTTTGCCCGAGTCTTGGATTTCAAGCCGCGGTGTTAAAACAGATGTGTAGCAGAGGAAGCTCTTTAAAGCTCAAACTTTCTGAGGAGCCGCTACCAGCTCTTTGTACAGCAACGGACATCACCTCAGTTGTGGCGGCTTCGGGTGGTTGAGCGGCAGGTCCAAACTCATCATCCAAGCAGTTTTCTGAAGTCTTGAAAATATTTCTTCCATGCAAAATGCAAATGCGGCACTTCACTGCCGATGAGTTGTGATCCAGTGAGATTTCTCCGTACACTTGTGTTGGTACTATGAGACTGTGCAGAGTCTGGGGCACGAGCAATGTCCCATGCTGCTATGCACATTGAATCTCACCTGCATGTCCACCATTCTCCCATGGCTTCGCTGCATGCTGTGCGCCCCAGACCCTGGACTCAAGGCATATCTGTCCTTCTCAATGTCGCGTGCCGCAGTGTGTCGTCCGGTCCCAAGTTCAGCTTTGGCATGACTGTTCGGCTTTGCTGGTCTACATCTGGCCTCAGCTCGATGCTCGGTTTCTGACTGCATGACATTCACATCAAGCACTCTGCAGTTTCTAATTGGGCATCGATTCACCACTGCCATCAGACTGCAGTGCACCATCATAGCGAGACCCGGTGCACGGTCCTACAGTGTGAGCTTCTGCTAAGCGAGAAACACCCACGCCACCATTGTGGCGGATGTTACACCTCCGTGAAGTACACCATGGCAAACACCATCCAGCCATCTCGAACGTAGCAGAAAAGCCGGCAAAGAAAGCTCCGGGCACGAAGGTCATGATCTCGTGCTGAAGGGCCTTACCTTCTTGCAGCGTTACCGCCGCTTGCGGCTTCGAAGCGCAGGCAACAGATGCATTCATTGCAAGCATTTTCCTGCATTTCTGTTTTTGTGTGGAAGGTCTCTTTCCGCCCGATGAATCGCAGGAAGAGGCCTGTGCGTTCAGCAGCATGTGAGAAGGGAATGCTTCCAGCAAGACGACGACATGCTGCATTTACCACACAATCCATTCACGCATGTTCAAGGGTGCGCGACGCGCGCGTGTGTGTGGTTGTGTGCCTGTGTATGTGTGTATGTGTGTGTGAAGCAGGATCCGTCAAGTTGGGGCGGACTGCCGGCAGAGCAGCGTGCTCAGTGCTTGGGTTTCCTGCTGCCATTGCGTGAAATCAGTTTAAGGCTTCATGCACATGCAGATGATCGACAGACATCTGTTTCATCATGGAACGCACAGCGTTAAGGCGGCAACCTTGGGAGGACGCGGTCACAGACGACCCGTCAGCCTGGCCAAGTAAGACACGATGTGAACTGGCATTCACCAGCTGAGAAGTGCAGATTCCGACAGCCACTTCCAGAATTGAAGCCGTTCAACAGACTTCGGCTTTGTTTTTGAGCATGATACCGTAGCATTGCTACAAGAGCTCGCTAACATCATCGTGAACTAGTGACTGCTGCAAGGACTGAGCATGGGTCACGATGTACTGTTGTGTTATTGCCCTGGTCATGCGACGCGTACACGAAAAGAACAACTGCCAGGAGCAAACGACAATCTAGCTGCCCAAACTCTTCCCCTGTCGTGTCTCTGAAGTTTGACATGCCCGAGACCTGTGGCAATAAGCCTGCTGCACCTTAGCTTTTGGCAGCCTGTGAGCCACTGGAATCATTTGAGCCAGAGCTCCTTGTGTGAGTGTAGAGTAGCAGAGTACAGCGGCAGTATCGCGAAGTAGCAACTCAGCATGTAGCCAGGTTGGAGCGTTCGGCGATCCAAGCCGAGGTCGCTTACAACTATGGCGTGCGGCTCAGAAGTTCGACGTTCGGCGTCCTATGCGTCCTCTCGCAGCATTCCCGTGAGCGCAAGTGGTGTATGTCCCAGGCCGGGCCTTCCACCAGCTGAGCATCGCCAACCTCGCCCTGGAGGTCCGCATGGCGTTGCCGCGGAAGTGCCCAGAACCCCGAAGCACCACTGCCCCCCGACGGCCGCAGCACTCAGAGGCTTACGAAGCAGCTCTGGAAATCTTCGACGGTCGGGGGACCCTGTTACAGACAGCATGCACAGTGCATCGATTGTGCCTGATTTAAGCACAAGGTCTGTCACAGTCAGAATGCCAGAGGACGGTGCGCGCATCGCGACCCCCTCCGCCCCGACTTGCAGCGTTCAGCTTGCCCACCCCCAATGTCAGATTCCTACTTTGTCTCCTGCAATGTGGCAACGCCTGGCCAGGACAGATTTGGTTGTCATCCGGAGATCAGCAGCATGGAATCTGGCATATCTCTACAAGGCCATTGTCAAGACCTTTAGGAATGTTCGGGGAACTAGTGTAGGCCAGAACTAGCACTGCTAGCACAGGGTGGTTCGACTGAAGCCCTGCGTTCAAAAGGCCCGATAAGGGATCCCAATACCCACATGATATTGTTGCCCGTGGCTTTATCACCCTGAGAGAGCCAGTACTGGCCTACACGATACAACCTTCGGCCTAGGAGCGAGCATCCAAACATGCTGGGAGGTCTTGGGAACTTAAGGGCTCTTTACAGGCACGACCAACTTCTCGGCAAGAAAGCAAGCAACGCAAGAAATAGCAAACGCCGTAGGCAACCTGACCTGAGGCTCAGGGAAGCACGGAGATGGCGGCCGACATTCTTTGGCGTCACGTCGTTTGGTAGCCGTCCTTTGTGCCGCGGAATCGCTGCTCCAACTGCAACATCAGACTGGAGATGTAGCTACATCTGCTCGTGGTTGACTGAATCGCTTGGAGCACGTGAAGCCGAAGCTGCACCGGACATTGACACGGAGAATTTGGAGACTATAATGAACACCCGCCGCGGGATTCCTCCGTACTTCGGGATCCAGACCATCTACCTGTGAACCTGTGCTTAGAGTTTGAGACCGGCCTACAGGGCGTCTCGCCAACTTCTGCAGGCCGACGTGCAGAACGCGACAGACGGTGTCGAGCATTCTCCCGTGCGGTTCGGCGTTACAAGGTGCAGACATTGCACCCTGCTTCCTGACTTTCGGCGCGCGGTCATGACAGATGAGCCATGGCTTGTTAGCAACGGCCCTCCTGAAGCCACGTATCAAATCGCGAGGCGGGTCAACAAAGCCAGCATGCTGTGACAGTTTGACTATGCTTGATGTGCGGCAGAGCTGCTTTGCAACACAGATGGATGTCCATTGCAGCCACCAATCAAGAAGCTCCCTCGAAGCAAAAGCTGTCAGCATAGAACAACCGCAGCCGCTGTAATGGGTTTGCAGTCAGGCCACGTCAGGCTCTTGATCCTCTTGCAACTAGGAAGACGGGCGAAGGAAGTACTCGTTCAATGAATGAAGTAGTTATTTCCTGACGCCATGAAGCGCGGCCCCAGCCTTAGGGAGCATATTGTGTCACGTTGTCTCAGCACGATGAAAGGTGAAGATTCAGCATAGCTGTGCTTAGCTTCCGCTCCTCCCCAGGTCCAGGTGGGCCAGGTCGAGGGCCTCCCCCGAAACGTGGGAAAGGGCCGCCGGTGGGAACAGGGCGCTGCGCCTTCAAGGCTTGCACGACTTGTAGCACAAAGATGAATATGTATACTCGCCAGTTTCGGAGGTCCTTTGCCCAGACCGACTCGTAGCGGGGCTTTTGGGATCAAGCGGGCAGTCGGCGTGGGGCTCAAGCTTGAACAGGCCACATTCCCCAAACCCAAAATCCTTGTGGAGCCCAATGCTTTTGAACTTGCTCCCAGGTCGCCAAGATACAAGAGCAGTCAGGCGAGATGTTGCAGGTTTATGCTCTGTCTTCGGAGACGGCCACGCGGGGCTGAGACAAAGTCAGTTTCGTTGTCTCAAGTAATTCGGCACTGTACGACGCGCGAGCTTCTCATGTGTGAGATTGTTGGCCCACGCACTAAGCTAGCTCTCCCTCGCCCTGCACTCCCCCTCCCTCTCGAGATGTCGAGAACATCTCGCTCTTGATCTGTGTGGCAGGATAAAACGACCACGTGCAACTGAAACGCGTTCTTGGCATAGAGTAGATAAGCAGCCTATGCGGGCCCTCGAAAAGTTGTCACGAAAGCTAGCTCCTTGGAGCTCGCGAGAGTTGTCGTTTACAAGAATTCTCTCTAGTGTGGTATGAAAATCAAAGAGATAAAGGGCTGTGGAGGGCCCCCTCCCCCCCCTTAAAGGATTGACAAAATCAATCTTAAGGTGTCCCCCCCCCCTCCTTTCAGGGTCGCCTGAATTGATTTCTGGGGAGGGGGGGGGCCCCCCCCCCCTTTTGGGCCCCCCCCCCCCCCCCGCCCCCCTCCCTTTTCAGGCTTCCCCCTCCGTCTTGGTCAGGCCCTGCGCCTGACTCGAAAAAAGCTTGCTTGTCAGCCGCGTTTCTAGCTTTCGTGGCCCCGATCTCAAGTTGAGTCTTCTGTTTCGTGGATGTCTCTGCCTTGTTCCCTGGAGGAAGTCAAGAGGGTTCACCACTGTCCACCATTCCCTCCTAAAGTATCATGCAAACCTCTCCCCGCCTCCAGGCTTTCCAGTTTTCATGGCGCCAGTAACGGAGTAAAGAGCAGACCCGAACCACTAGCGTATCACGTGCGGCACCCAGGTTTGCACAAACGTGTGCTCATGAGGCTCTACTGACGAATTTGGTAAAGCATGCACTCTCTGCACCTCTAAGCATCTCTAAGCTCTGCACCCCAGCAATGGGAGGTTGTCATTGCAACTTCTCTCGGCGCAGTGAGCTGGAGACCCATGCAAAGTGTCCTTGTCTGTCATTCCATGCAGTCTGACCCAGCGTTCCTCCATGCTGATGCAGAAGGCAAGAGTTGTTGGCATGAGTTGCCTATGGCCCTTGTGTCCAGGTTTTTCCCTGACACCAACCTGCGCGTGATGATTATCTCAGGAGCTTCCCAACGTGTTTCTGTGGGAAGAGACGGGAAGAGTGTAAGAATGGAAAATTTATTACCACATAATATGGAAGTTACAGCATCACAAAATGGTAATAGTAAAGAATTTTGGTACATCAATACCAACTGGCAATACCCTGATTGTCTTGTTGCTAGATATGGTTCAAATACATTTAGTGGCATCTGCTTGGCAGGTCCTGATCCAGCGGACATCGTCACATGCCTGGGCTTGGTCTTGGACAAGGTCGGGGACTGCGGGGTGCTGGAGTGCATTTCGAGCTGAGCCACAATGCTGCAGGTCGAAAGCTGCGCCGCTGAAGAGCGTACGGTGCGCTCAGACTATTCGGAGCTTGTTCCATGTTGGATGTCCAGTGTTTCCTTGTCTTGCTTCGAGGACCAAATTTCGCTGCTAGAACAACCTAGTTGCCCCAAACGGTTCTGCAAGAGGCAATGTCCTGTGACAGGCCATGGAAGAAAACGGCACATTTGGAGAAGAGGATGCCTGTCATATGGGTTTAGGTCCACGTTGAGAGTATTCTGGGGAGTGTCCCAGAAGTTGACATGCGATTCATGGAAGACTGTGAAGCCAAACGTTCGAAGAGGATGGCGAATTCGTGGACACGGCGGGAGAGCGCTCACCTCAGGTCTCTGCACGGCACTTCCTGGAGCAAATCAAAATACATTTAAAAAAAAAAAACATGCTCTTTTGCCTAGATCCTAAAGACTGCCCCTAAGCCTTCGTCAATGCGTGAATGATGCCTTGTGTCAGCATCCGGCTCTGTGTGGCCGTTACCCCATTCGCAGCGGAAGGGGGCCGGGGCCCTGGCATCCTAGAAAGTGCGATACTGCAGAAACATGCAACAGCAGCAACAACAACAACGACGACGACGACTAAAACAACAACAGCAGGTTCATCAGCAGTTACCAAGATACTGCGCCTTGTTGTGGCCTGTGCTCCTACCTCCCCCCCCCCCCCCCCCTCCCCGCCCCGCTCCCCCTCCGCACTCAAAACCAACAGGAATCATATTAATATTCACCGTGGATATTGCTAAATCTACTTCCATGAATCCTGGTAATGTCTGGGAAGAGTCAGAGGAAAAATGTCTCTGAAAATCCGTGTCCAGCGTTTGTTCCTGAAGTGTGGAAAATCTGTGGAGAATCTGTGGCCTGTCTCTTTTGTTGGCTTGGAATCCGTGGAATATCTCAAAGCTGGGGGGTCCGGACGCAGATTTTCCCCCTCTTTGTGGAAAATCTTGTGTCCCCCCATTGAACGGTGAGATTTGGAGGGTCCAGGCTGGGGGGCCCCGGACACAGACTTTCCTCAGATGTTCGAGGTCCCGTCGCCCCAAAATCTTTGCAAACAACCAGCTCACAAAAAAGCGCAGGCAAAAAACACAGAAACATACGTGAAGACTACAAACACAACAAAAAAACACAGATTCCATTTTGTGAAATTCACAGCTTGTTTTCTTCGAGAACAACATTTTGGAAACCCATACATTCCCAAGCATTCATACTCAAAAATTAACTTTTTATAGGGATCTATCAGGATGAATGAGAATCTTAGTAATATTAATAGGAAGGATTCCTAATCATATTTCGCATGATTCCTGTTATTCTCCAGCGGGAGCAGGGGGGGGGGGGGGGGCTGAGGGGGAAGGGGGGGTTGGAATTACCGGCGACGAGTATTTTGGCGCCCTCTCGTTTCCCGTCACCCCTTTCTTCGGCGGCACTGGGAAGCAGTCATTTTCAGACAGGGCATGGGTGGGACCACGACTTCCTTGCCGTCAAATGCATGGGACAGGGTGAGAGGACATTGTCTGAGCCCATAGGGCTCAATCCCGCAACGGCCGCCGCAAGGAGTCAGTCCTCCAAACAGCATCGAAAGCTGCGGCCACTTGTGACGAACAAGACCCCGATGAGAAGCGGAAACTTCACATCTGCTCGATGGCTTCGAAATAGAAGGTACGAATCGGCAAGCGCAGGGGAAGCTGACAGGGTGATCAGCCTTCGGGAGAAGGTTGCAAAAGCAGCTGCACAAGGTCCTCGCAGCTTCGTTTCGTGAGTTTCCGGAAATCTCCACTTTGGTATCCGGGCAATTTCCGCGCTTCAACAAGAGGTGCAAGCACGGATGCCCATATTCGGCGCATGAGGTTTAGTCTTTGCAAAGATTTGTTCATATTTGGACCATATTTGGGATCAGGCAATGGTGTTCTCTCACCTTGTCTGCCAGATCGCAAGCTTGTTAGAGGGTTGCTGGCTTGGTACAACCCCAAAATTCGCTTCAACACTTTCCACGTGAGGCGTCATGTTGCGTCAGTTCCCCGCAACTTTCCCGAATGCCTTACTTGGAGTGACTTGCAAGGCCACGATGGCTCAGCAGCTATCTCAAGGATACAGGAGGCAAGTCGATGCCTTCCCTGATCTTCGTGGAGAGCGCCGGTAGTTCTCGTGCTCCACCATGCCTGCAGTGTACACGCATTGAATCACACTCATCAGACTCCAGCTCTAAAATTCCTCGGCTTCGCTTCTGCGCCACTTCTGCAAGTCAAGTCCCAGGGTAGGATATGCAATGCAAGGAATCCAACTTGCCTTCGCGTTCCGCACAGCGTCTACTGTAGCCCCTCTGCATGTGCAAGACAGACATGACAAGAATGACCGATGGCCTGCTCGGTCCTTGCACTGACGTAGGTGTACGGCTACTGCAATAAAGAGTCTCGGGTATCGCCGACAATCGGCGACTTGGGCTCGTCGCTGGTCCATGTTCGCCCAGATTCGCCCGTATCTCTCACATCCTCTCACTTTCCACTCAGTCCATGGAGTATCTGCCTGTGCCGCATACGGTCGCGGCTATCCGTCAAAGGCTTGCCAGGTACGGTAGCTCTTTCGTACTGTACGGTTAGCTCGACGACCTCAGACCTCTGAAGGAGAGCGGCGTTCGGCTTTACGTGGACGACATAATCCACGAGCGGCATCAGGTCAGAACTGGGAAGCCTTTCGTGAAGAATTCGAGCTCAAGAAGTGTGGCGTGCAGCGTACATATGTGAGCATGTGGGGTGCACATGTTTTGCAAGATGCTCCTGCATGTGCCCGCAGCTTGTGGTCCTTGCTGGCACTCTGGAACAACTGCTCGACGTGGGGCTCTCTGGTTTCCGTGAGGGGTTCGACACGCTTTCTGGCTTTTTATGCGATGAGTGCTGAGTGCAGTGTGAACCCTGTAACACCACCAGGGATTGGAGCGCTTCAATGCTCTGGTGCAGGTGCAAACTGTCCACAGAACCTTCTTGACCTCCTGAGCCTGTTCTGCGTTTTCGTTGGGGGCGGGGGGGCCGCCGATGTGCGTGGGAGGCACAAGTCGCCGATGAAGACTTTGCCAGCTGGGCGGACCTCAAGACATTCAAGCTTCCAACAGCTCCAGGCGGCCTTAGCGTCGGGGCATGCAAAAAAAAGTTGTCGCAGTCATTCTGAGGGCGCTCAGGCCTAAACTAGTACGTGGGATACAAAGATATACAAAGCCCCTGCTCAGGCGCCGATTCCAGTGAGGCCAAGAGTCATAGTAAAATAGATTGCAGAACCTGGGCTCAGAAGAACCGAACCATCTGCGCAGGCATCGTCCCATCAGAACGTCCTCTTCCTGGGTGGTTTATCTCAGCCGGGGGCCTGCCTGTCACGGCAGATGTTGGCAGTTCCAAGTTTCGCAGCTGCTTTGATCCAGCTGCCGCAAGCTGCCATTCAGGCAAACGGACACAGCGAGCCTGGAGAGTTACTTCTCAAGGCAGCGTGGGGCTCGCTTTCCTCGTCCAACCTGTACAAGAACAACAGTGTCTGTCGCTTTGCAATCGTGCAGAACACGGGATCAAGCTAAGTTTGCGGCAGGTATCTGCAAGGATGGGAGGCTTCTCCAATGCTTAACCATATTCAATAATTTCCAGTGAGGGTTGCAGAGCAGTTAGTATTTCTCGTAAGCACGGATGCGAAAAGATGCGAAAGGATGCAGGACTTCGTACTGGTACAGGGCAGCATGCAGGATGCAGGTGCCGGTTAAAGCAGTGTTAAAGCAGCACGTCACACTCACAGCCGAGAACCGGCACAGTCAGATGATTCGCGTTGTTTCCAGGGTGAAAGTCTGTCAATGCTGTAGCAACTTTCAGGCAATGGTGTTGGCAGTGTCCGTGGCTTTGCTAAGCGGGCAGTGCGTGTCCGTTGAAGTCACAGACGAGGCGTCCATAAACGAAGTACGGCAAGTTGCACAGGCGAAGATGGGGCGCACCTTGATTGCCTTGCTTTCACCTTTTGGGGTACAACTGGATCCCATCAGCACTGTTGCCCAAAGCGGCTTGCAAGACGGAACTGTCCTGGGTGCCATCGCAAAGGCTGGTCCCAAGCTACAGTCCCACCGGAAGGCTAGTACCTTTGCTGCCATTCGCGCCGATGGGTCAGTTGTAACCTGGGGCCATCGGTTTCATGGTGGAGACAGCCGACATGTGCGCGATCAGCTCTTAAATGTGCATGATGTTTACGCGACTCACAAAGCCCTGGCAGCAGTGAAGGCAGATGGTTCTGTCATCGCATGGGGCCACGCAGATCATGGTGGCGACAGCTCATCTGTCCAAGAAGACCTCCAGATGGTCAGGCATGTATTTGCCTCGATGCAAGCCTTTGCAGCCTTGAGGAGCGACAGAAGGGTTGTCACCTGGGGTAAGGCATCCCATGGCGGAGATAGCCGACACCTGGCGCAAAAGCTTGTGGATGTCCGAGAAATATATTCCACAGAGGCCGCATTTGCGGCGGTTTTGGGTGACCGGACCGTGGTGACTTGGGGCCATCAGGAGCAAGGTGGCGACTGCAGAGAAATCGCAGATGAGCTCGTCCAAGTTCGTGACATTGCAGCCTCTGGAAAGGCATTTGCAGCCGTGCGTTACGATGGCACGGTCGTGAGCTGGGGACATCCTGAGTATGGAGGTGATAGCTCAGCAGTGAAGGACCGATGCAAACAATGGTTGATACCTGCTCCCCAACGATACTGAAATTATTCGGGGTTTGTTGGCTAGTGGGCATGGTGGTAACATCGACATCAGCAGTGTTGGCAAAGGTTCGTCCCGGTTCATCCACAACTCTCACCCTTTGCTACTGAGTTATTGTCAGGTCAAGTTCAGTACGAGGGATGGGATGGCGACAGGATCCAAATCGAGCGAGCATTCAATCGAGGGAAGACATGCTCCGATGCGATTGACAGCAATGAGGTTCAAACATTCGGATTACAAACGCCACCTTAAAGAAGTGTTTGGTAGAAACTAGTGGAGCACGAGACAGCATCGAGAGTCTGGTACAGCGCAAGACCTTGGCATGCGTGCGATTTCCAAGACGTCAGCCTGGCCGACGTTATCATCCTGCGGGCATGGGTGCTCCGGCCAATGGATGCTCTGGTAAGGAGAACTCGAGCGGGCTCGAAAAGCATCGTTGATTTGGGAGTTTTGTTTCGAATGGCTGGCTCGAATTTTCCAAGAGTCCCCAAAGCCTCAAATCCCGAAGACCAGAGCTGGCTCGATGATTTCAATAGAAATCTACACTTGTCCCCCCCCCCTCCCAACAGTCACGAAAGCTAGCCTCTCCGGGGCCGGGAATTCTTGTTGACTAATTTGTTAAAAAGCACTCGATGGCCTCAATCTCCGATACGGACGCATGTGGCGCGACCTAAGCGGAGGGGGGGGGGAGGGGCGGAGGAGGGGGGGGGGGGGGGGAGGAGGGAGGAGGGGGGAGGGGAGGAGGGGGGAGGGGGGGAGGGAGGGGGGCAGGGGGGGGTGGGGGTGGGGGGGGGGGGGGGGCGGTTGGGGGGGGGGGGTGGGGTGTGGGGGGGGGGGGGGGGGGTAAGAGGACACTTAAAGGCTATGCTGCACGTGCGTGCCTTGTAAACAAATACTTTACAAAGGAAACGCCCGCAGAATAGACGCAACGCACCCGCAGAATAGACGCAAGCACCCTGTCAGCGCACTGTGTCCTGGGCGGGGGCGCGGAGGGCGCGGAGGGCGCGGAGGGCGCGGAGGGCGCGGAGGGCGCGGAGGGCGCGGAGGGCGCGGCGGGCGCGGAGCGCGCGGAGCGTGCGGAGCGCGCGGAGGGCGCGGAGGGCGCGGAGGGCGCGGAGGGCGCGGAGGGTGCCGGAGGGTGCCGGAGGGCGCGGAGGGCGCGGAGGGCAGAGGGCGGAAAGGCGCGGAGGGCGCGCGGCATCCACGTGTCCCCATATCCCCTGCCCATCAACCGAATGTCACTCTCCCCTTCCGCGCCGAACCCGTCCGTCAACCTCCATGCATGGTCCACGCCTCCCCACATCTCCAGCAAAATGTTCCGAACCCCCTTTCCGTCCGACCCTCCAAGGAGCGATCCGATAGAACGCCTTCCGCATTGAAGCGCCAAACGAGAACCCAATTTCAGAATTGGTTTTCGGGAAAAAATCCAAGAAAACAAAGAGCACACGCAGAATAGACGTTAAGCGTCCCAATTCCAAGCGCACGGGGCTGGGGTGGGGGGGGGGGGGGGGGAGGGGGTAAGGGGGAGGGGGGGCGGGGACTGGGGAGGGGAGGGGGGGGAGAGAGGGGGGGTTGGGCCAGTTTCTCGATAAGAAGGGGGTGCCCCCAGGCCCCCATTCTTAACCAGTATTTTGTTTGATGTTGACAATGGTTGTTCTCGCACATATGCTTTTTTGCAACGCAAGCTCACATATGACAGAGTTGGTTCGATGCACATGTGCGGACTTCATGTGTGCAACATAGCTCATATATAGGATACACTTTCTACCGACAGCATGTCAACATTGTCCAGTTAACTGGGTCGTGGTCGGGTTGTTTCTCATGCGAACCTGTACTTTGTTAAATGCTGAAATCGCACAACGCAAACTCATCCAGGATGCTGTTTGTTTGCTTGCTGTCTTGATGCGTGCAACGCAAGCTCACAGATGAGAGAGTTGGTTCGATGTATATGTGCTGCCTTCATGTGTCCGATACAGAAGCTAGGCACTAGCTTTCGTTCGCCCTGCTCTCAAGTCCCCATCGATGCCGAATGTTCAGTTTGCTTTGAAATTTCGAGCCGGCTTGGACTCTCCACAAAACACCTAGCTTTCTCGGCCTCCTACATGCCAGAACTTATGGTTTTTTCTTTTTAACATCCAAGCCGACTCGATTACTCGCAAACTTCACAAGCCACCAGATCAAGAAAACCCAAGCCTGCTCGAACGTGCGAACGAAAACGAAATTGGGAGATCCATGGCCACCACTGTGAGGACAAGTTTCAGTATTAATTTGAAATTTCGAGAAGGCCTCAAAGTTTCGTGACCTGGTGCTCCAGAAACTCTTAATTTGGGGATCTATGACCCCCCTGGCATCAAAGATGCCACATTGGTTGAAAAGATTCTGGGCGGCTCGAGTTGTCGCGACTGATACTTCGAGCAAAGTGATGATGAACAACTCAATTCCATGAATCTCACTAGTTCCTTACGGTCTCCCTAATGACATCATCTTTTGTTTTGTTATTCAACATAGCGAGCCTTATTTCTATTGGCTTGTTGTACTCACCACCTCCGAACGACTTGACACTTAGTTAGTTAATTTTAACGCTACGCGACCCGCCTCGGCCCGGCCCAGCGCATCCGCGTGAGCGTGGTGATTCCGCAGCGCCCAAGTCGCTGGACCCCAAGCAATAAGGGTTGGGTTTAGGGTTTAGG